GAAAAATAAAAATAAAAAAAGGAAAATTGTAATGCAAAAATATCAAGAATAGAAAGATATAAATTAGATCATAATGTCAATACAAGGTGCAAGTTTTATAGTTAACTAAAGTAATGTGGATATTTAGTTGTGGTGCAGGGAATTACTTAGTTTAGCTCTTCTAGACATGGTCTTTGTGACTCCCATTGGGAACTGGGTGCAGATTGGGTATATTTCCTCTTCTTGAGTAAGATAAGGTGGGGGAATGATGATGAAAGTGTTATATGATTCAGTTATGAATGACTGTTAACAAGGTTAATTGTGATATTAACACTTTAATTTTATAATGGGTGGATTGGTCAGTTTGCTATCCCTCTGGGTTTAAATTGAGCAATCATGTAAGTGGGGATTTCCCTACCAACAAGAAAAATGACCTAGGAGTAGAGTGGATCCTTTGGTCCCAAGATTCCTGAACATTGAAGCTCTGACCCAGGAGACAGAGGCATGTCAGAGGAATGGTAAGGAGCAGCAGCAACAGAAATAAGATTCAGAGCATGAGACCAAGCACTAGGCGTCCTGGCCCAGGAAATGAGTAAAGTTGAGTGTCTTTGGCAGAAGGCTTACCTCAATGCACTTAATTGGGGCGGGGTGGTGGTGGTAGGTTAGTTGAGAGTCCTAGTGTGATGTTGTAGGATTAGTACTGGATTGCTAACCAAACTTTTGGTAGTTCAAGCCCAACAGTCACTCCTAGGAAACCCGATACAGAGTCGCTATGAGTTAGTACTGACTTGACAGCACTTAACAACAACAACAACAATGTTATTGACTTACAGAACTAGAGTTGAATGTCTTCTGCTTGAGGCTTATGTCAGAGTAGAGTGCCCTTTGGGTATTTATCAGCAGTGCTAACATAGTTTTATCATATTGCTGGAGCAGATCCTAGGCCAGGCCAAGGAATCAAGAGACTCCTGTCTCTGGCCATGGCTGGTATGAGACTTATTCGGAACATTTCTAGTCCTAAACTGTGATCTATTAACTTCCTTAATAACTGTCATAATTGTGAGTATTGTCTGAGTTCTGTATAGCCACTGAAATAATTTTTGAACTCAGCAGAAAAGTAGAGTGCTTTAGAAGGAAGGAGGGACAGCTGGTGTCAGAATTAGTAAAGGCGGGAAGAGGGTGGAGGCATGTCTGACTTCTGTCTCATAGGAATTGGAGTTGGGTTGGTGTGGAGTTCGATTTTCCTTCCTCCTTGTGAAGTCAGAGGAGGTCAGATGCAGCCTCCATGTCAATTTTGCATTGGTCTCAAGTTAACTGTAGGTCAAAGGGAATGAGTACAAGAGCACTCGTAGGTGTACTTGCCCCATGTTAGGGGGAATAAGTAAAAAGTTTCCAACGGTCACCAACTTCTTTTTAGGGTGTCCTGAGTTTATAAGCAGGAGCCCTGGTGGTGTAGTGGGTAGGTATGCATTGCTAATAACAAATGTTTCAAACACACCAGCCCTCTGTAGGAGAAAGATGCGGTTGTGTCCTATAGGGTTGCTATGGGTAGGGATTGACTCAATGGATTTTATCTCTTTGAGTTTTTATGCGATATATATTTTAGAAGTACAAGAGAAAATTAAACACAAATGAACTCTTGAACAATTAGAATTTTTTTTACTATAATAGAATATCTATTTCTCAAGAATGCAAGGTAACAAAACTTTGATTTTAGAGTCATGGTGTGGCACTGTGGGTTAATGCGTCAAACTTCAAAGCCATTTGAACTGCAAGGTCGGCAGTTCAAGTTCACCAGCTGCTCCTTGGAAACCCTATACAGGGTTGCTATGGGTTGGAACTGACTCGACGGCACTTAACAATGACAACAACAACAATTAAGTTTACCAGAGTCCTGATGTGGCACCGTGGGTTAATATGCTGGGCTGCAAGGTTGGTTTGAACAGTAGGGTCAGCAGTTCAAACCCACCAGCCACTTCTCAGAAACCCTATATTGGGTAGCTATGAGTTGGAACTGACTTGAAGGCACTTAACAACAACAACATTAAGTCTACTATACATCTAACAACTTTATCATATTTGTTCTGGATCCAGTGATGGTGTGGATAATTCGTCTTTCTCACTGTAGCTTGTTGTAAGGTGCTGTTTTGAGTGAGTTTTGACTTATAGCAACCCTATGCACAACAGAATGAAACCCTGTCTGGTCCTGCACCATCCTCACAACTAGTGTTATGTTTGAGCCAATTGTTGCAACTGCTGTGTCAACACATCTTGGGGATCTTCCTTTTTTTGTTTACCCTCTACTTTACCAAGCACAAGGATCTTTTCCAGGGACTGGTCCCTCCATATATCTAAAACACATGTGATGAAGTCTTGCTATTTTTACTTCGAAGGAGTATTTTGGATGTACTTTTTCCATGGAAGATTTGTTTGTTCTTTTGGCTGTCCCTGATACTTTTAATATTCATTGCCAACACATAGTAATTCAAATACATCAGTTTTTCTATGGTCTTTCTTATTCATTGTCCAGCTTTCATATGCATATGAGGCGACTGAAAATTCCCTGCCTTGGGTCAGGCACACCTTAATCTGGTATCTGTTATATGTACTCTTGAACACTTTAAAGAGGTCTTGTGCAGCAGATTTGCCTGATGTAATATGTCATTTGATTTCTTGAACTGTTACTTCCATAAGTGAAAGTATACAACCCTGGCACACACCTTTCCTGATTTTAAACCACACAGTATCCCCCTGTTCTGTTTCAATGATTGCCTCGTGTCCTATGTACAGGTTCTGCATGAGCACAATTAAGTGTTCTGTAATTCCCATTCAGCCTAATGTTATCTGATTATTATGATCCACACAGTTGAATGCTTTTACATAGTCAAAAAAAGACACATAAACATCTTTGTGGTAATCTTTGCTTTCAGCCTAGACCTGTGTGGCATAAACAATGACATTCCTCATTCCAAGTCCTCTTCTAATTCAACTCGAATTTCTGGAAGCATCCTATCAATGTGCTGCTATAACCATTTTTGAATTATTTTTCAGCAAAATTTTACTTGTATGTGACAGTAACGATATTGTTCAATGAATTATACATTCTGTTGGGTCAAGTTTCTTTAACATGACCTAAAAATGGATCTCTTCAGGTAAATTGGCCAGGTAATTCTCTTCAAAATTTCTTGGCATAGATTAGTGAGTGCTCCAGAGCTGTATTAGTTTGTTGAAATATTTCAATTTGTATTATGTCAGTTCCTGGAGCCTTGATTTTTGCTAATGCCTTCAGTGCAGCTTGAATTACGTCCTTCCATACTATTGGCTCCTGGTCATAGACTACCTCCTGAAATGGTTGAACGTTAGCCAATTCTTTCTGGTGCAGGGACTCTGTGTATTCCTCCCATCTTCTTTTGGTGCTTCCCACATTATTCAATATTTTGTTCCTGTTGTGTTGTTGTTGTGTGCTGTCGAGTCAGTTCTGATCCACAGCGACACTTTTGAGGCTATAAGTCATTATAGGAGCAGATAGCCTCATCTTTCTCTGGCAGAGTGGCTAGTGGATTCAAACTGCTGAGCTTGTAGTTAGCAGCCCAACAGGAAAACCACTATGCCACCAGCACTCTTTCATTTTGCCCTTAGAATCCTTCAATACTGCAAATCAAGTCTTGTCTTTTTTCTTTTTCAATTCTTTCAGCACGAGAAGTGCTGTGCTTGTTCTTCCCTTTCAGCTTTCTCTTTTATTTTCTTTTTCACTTCCCCTACCCCCCACGCCCACATTTCATTACAATAGCTGACTTTGTCTTCTTGAGTTGCCTTTGACATTTTGTTTAGCTCTTTTACTTCATTTCTTCCAGCCACTTTAGCTACTTCATGTTCAGAGCAAGTTTCAGAGTCTCTTCTGATACCTACATTTTAGTCTTTTCTACTTTTTAAATGACCTTTTGCTTTTTTCATGTATGATGTTCCTTATGTCATCCCATAACTCCTCTGGTCTTCAATCATTAGTGTTCAATGAATCAAATGTGTTCTTAAGATAGTCTCTAAATTCACAAGGGATATACTGAAGGTCATATTTTGATTCTCATAGACTTATTTTAATTTTCTTCGGCTTCAGCCTGAACTTGCATATGAACAATTACTGGTCAGTTCCAAAATCAGCCTCTGGCCTTATTTTGGCTGATGATATTAAGCTTTTCCATCATCTCTTCCCACAGATGTAGTCAATTTGATGCCTGTGTATCATACCTCATGAAGTATAGTTGATATTGAAGGTGTTGAAAAGTTTGATTTGCAATGAACAAATTGATGGTCTTGCAAATTCTATTATTGATTTCAAGTGTTAGTTCTATAACCAAAGCCATATTTTCCAATTATTGAATCTTCCTCTTTATTTTCAACTTTTGCATTGTAATCGCTCATAATTATCAATGCATCTTGAATGCATGCTTGATTAGTTTCAGACTCAAGAAGTTGGTAGAATTCTTCAATTTCCTTATCACTGACTTTGGTGGTTGGTTCAGAAATTTGAATAATAATTGTATTAACTGATTTTTCTTGTAAGTTTAAGGTTGTTATCCTATCACAGACAGCATTGTAATTCAAGATAGATCTTGAAGTGTTCTTTTTGATGATTAATGCAATGCCATTCTTCTACAATTTGTTATTCCTAGCATAGAAAACCAAATGATTGCTTGTTTCAAAATGGCCAATACCTATCCATTTCAGTTCTTTAGTGCCTATGATGGAGAGCACAATGGCTCTGTAGGATAAATATTGGACTGTGTACCACAAGGTCAGTGGTTTGAGCCCACCAGCCATTCCATGGGAGAAAGATGAGGCTTTCTGCTCCCACAAAGATTTATAGCCTCAAAAACCCTACACCGAGTCACTATGATACAGAATCGACTCCATGGCACCTAACAACAACAACAACAATGTGTAAGATATTGATTTTTATGTATTTCATTTTATTGTTGATGACTTCCAATTTTCCTAGATTCATACTTTCTACATTCCACATTCCAATTATTATTAGTGGATGCTTGCAGCTGTTTCTTTTCATTTAAAGTCATGTCCCATCAGTAAATGAAGGTCCATAAAGTTTGTCATTAAGTTTAACTCTACTTTGAAGAGGCAGCTCTTCCTCAGTCATATTTTGAGTACCTTTCAAACCTAGGGACTCATTTTCCAGCATTGTGTCAGACAATGCTTGGTTGCTGTTCCAAAGGTATTCAGCACTAATACCTCAGACGTGAACCACTTAGTCTTTCTTAGTCTGTTTTTAGCCTGGAAGCTGCACTAAAACCTGTCCCTCACCAGAGGCATAGCTTCATGCAAACCACCAGAGTATGGTAAACTGACAGATAAGTAGAAATTAGAAACAAACTTAGAACAATTTTGTAATTAGATTATTTTGATAATTTTTTTGTTTGGCTATTCAGAATTCATTACAATGTTTACTGTGCAAAATGTTTACTGTGCTGAACTACTTTACTGTTTTAAAAAATAAATTTTTGGTATTCAGATTCATGCTCATAACTTATTTTAAATTTATGGACATAAGGTTGTGCTACAGATCAGAAAAATTCTTCACATTCCCGAAATCAGAAAGTATAAGCATCAAATATCCTGTGGAAACTTTTGTTATCAGGCCTGATTTGGAAATCACATAATTCTGTTGATTGAGTGGTGTTCTGAATCAAACTCTGAAAAGTCTCTTTTAGGAGACTTCTTATTTTCTAATACGAAATTAGGAGTCATGTTGTGTCACTATAAGATGAGCCCTGGACCAGAAGGTCCGTTTCTGCAAAGTTGGCCATTCAAGCTCATTAGTCACTCCTCGGAAACCCTATACAGGGTTGCTATGAGTCAGACTTAACAGAAAGAGCAATATGAAATTAAGTGATTTTGAAGTTAAGTGATTCCTATCATTAAGGATTTCTGGTGGTTCTGTGTGTTAAGCATTGCACTGCTAACTGAAAGGTTGGTGGTTTCTGCTCTCTGATTCACAGTGCATATAGTGTAGTATCTTTAGAGAAGTAGGTATCTGAGATTTTCTAGAATGGCTTCCAGAACTATTCCAGGAAAATGCTATTTTTCACCTGCCATCTCCAGCTAACAGCAAAACAGTGAACTGAAGTGTTAGTAGACTTAAAAGATACAGTGTTGGTCTCTATAGAAGTGAGAAGAAAACAGATAATGCCAAAAAATTAGCACTTAGATATCTTAATTATTGTTGTTAAGTATCGTTGAGTCAGTTCTGACTCATAGCGACTGTATAGGGTTTCTGAGAAGTGGCTGGTCTTGAAATTATCTTAATACTAGGAATTAAATTTTTTCTTACAGTTTCTGAAGATCATAGTACTTCTTGAAGCCATCAGGAGGAAGATTTCTTATTAAATTCCATTGAAGTGACCTGAAATAAACACAAATTTGGGTTCTTATGTAAAGTTCCCCCCTCCCTTTTATTACTTTTAAACTACTATGGCTTATGATGATTATAAATTGCATTTAATTTACCACTCAGATTTCAGGAAATGCTTTATTGCCTTATGTTACAGTCACATTCACAGTATCATTTTAACTAATTCTGATTAATTGATTCTGCATTTTTAAGGTATTCATATTTTCTTAAAATTAGGTCAAAGCATTAGAATTCTAATAATTTAAAAATAATAAAACAGTAATGGATTTTTAACTTATATTCCCCTTTTCCATACTACTTAACTAACATTGGAAAACATCTCAGTTTTTGAGCGACAATAAAAATGAATGTTTTCCCTTTAAAATATATCAAAAATTTAAGAAATGTTGTGTTCCTTAAATTATTTATTTCTCACATTCCATTACTTTTTCTTCCTTTTTAAATTAGTTATGAAGTGAATGGTCAAAGATGGTACATATAATTGAAACATCTTTGTTCAATAAATAATCCCATTATAATTTCCAATGCATTGTATAGGCTTTCTTTTATATCATAATTTGAAAACACCAGGCAAGGTTCAAATAATTGTGGTTGTATTGGTTGGGGCTCAAACTTCAAATTTTCTGGAAAGCAATGTAATAAAATAAAAGAAG